CAAGAGATCCGTTTGAATTGTCATAAATATTGTTGTGCCTAATTATCCGAAATGGTGAATTTTTTTGAAATTTGAAAACAGCTGTTGCGTTTTTGAAGCATGGAACAAGAAAGTCTTTGTTGGATGCCTCTACAAGGACAAAATTTAGCTCAAAATGGAAGGGTGAAAGTTGTCCATGGCTTCATCATATTGGAGTTTTGCTTCATAGAGGAAATAGAGGAGAAAGGGACGTGTGTGGCTGAGAAAATTGGGAATAGGTTAGGGATTTTCTTTGTTTGAGGGCTTAAGGTTTGGGCCTATAGATTTTCTTTATGGGTTGCTCGTTTGGAATAGCCAAATTGGCTGAATGGATGAAATATTTTTGGGCCTTTTTTCTTCTTTAAATTAATTCATTTGAGCTTCTAACTTAATAACTAGTATAATATACATTAATGTAAAAAATTTAGTAAGTAAGATACTTGAAACAAAGTAATGACAATCTATTTTAAAGAAGACGACAATATGTAATAGTAGTAAAGTTTTGATAATAAGATATATAATTTAAAAATAGCAAAAAGAGAATAAAAGATGATAATCACAAAAATAATAAAAGTTAAAGTAATAGTAATAATAGTATCTTAAAGATAATTACGATAACATTGGTAATTAGCGAAAATAATAGTGAAATGTAAAGTATTCGACTTGTTAATAATTTAGAAGCCCAACGAAATAAATTAGAAGAAAGGAGGGACAAAATTGGGTGTCAGTATGAAGGACAATCTCTTATCTTGTGGTCCATCTTACCACAACTAAAACAAGCATTGGAACTCACTAGACACTTGTCCTCGTGCTTCCTTCCACACTTATCACAAGTAGGCAACAAAGACCCACTACCACTTCCTCCTTGAGGCTTAGGGCTAGACACCCTCTCTTTGTTGAACATAGAAGGAGAATCTGAGGAACCTTGACCAGAAAACCTTTGTCGGAACTTAGAACGACTATTTCCATCGGACCATGCATGAGAGAAGTTACCATCTCCGATTTTAGCCTTCTTTGCCTCCCTATACTTTTCCTTAAGTTTCTTCTCTTCGATTTTTTGAGCATGAACTACGAGACAAGAGATATCCGTATCATTAACAAGCTTGGCGGTACGACATTCCTTAACCACCATCTCGGACACACCCGAAACAAACTTACACATCCTTTCCCTAGGATCGATAATCATAGTGAAAGCATATCGAGACAATTGTGTGAAATTCAAAGCATATTCCTTCACACTCATACTCCCTTAACGAAGGTTGATGAATTCAAGCACCTTTTCCTCCCTCATCTCAAGGGGAAAGAACCTATCAGGGGAAAGAACCTATCAAGGAAAGGAAAGCAACTTTGAGCTTTTCCCAATCGAGAGGACCCGTATCTTCCGATCTCCCTTCCTTCCATTGGTTAAACCAAATTTGAGCAACACACTTAAGTTGATAATTAGACAACTCCACCTTTTCCAATGACGTCACTCCCATGATCATCAACACCTTGTAAACCTCATCGATAAACTCTTGGGGATCTTCATCAACCTTAGAACCATGAAACTCCGGAGGATTCATTCTAGTGAAGTCCCTCACTCTAGATGCCGTCGTACCTACATTTGGGTTCACGGGGACCACAACCTCCCTATTGGCTTGGACCGTCATGGCTTGGGCCAATACTTGAAAAGCAACCCTAAACTCTGCATTAGTCACTTGCTCGGCCAAAGGATCGACCAGAACTTGAAGAGCTTGAGAAGGAACTTCTTGATTCACATTCTCTCCCGCATTCCTTCTAGTATAAGCTCTTCGAGTAGTCATGTCATGTAGATCATCAGATAAGGATTAAAAGAGAGACCTTATAGAATTAAAATCTATCGCACGACTTTAGAGTAATAAAAGAAGTGGAGTTTCCTAAACATCTTGTAGCCTCGCATTCATAAATGTGACGCGCTTCACACTCATGAACAAGACTATACTCAAAGTGGTTGCTTATGAGACTTCCTAGGACCTTTCTAAACCTTGTGCTTTGATTACCAAGTTTGTCACAACCCAAGGTAGCCCCTAGGCGTAACATAGCGAATAGGACCCCCAAAGGCCCCATACAAGCCACTTAGCATTCATAACATAAGAAATAGAATTCAAGATATTTAAAAGACAGCTCAATACATCAAAGTTTTTATAAAGCAAATTGGAAATCTAAACATCGTCTCAGTAATCATCTAGTACATAAGAATGAAATTAGGCCTAGCCTATACATCATGTCCAAAACTAAAAATAAGAGGAGACTGAAAACAAAGAAAGTCCGTTCCTCGAAGCATGAGGACTCACCAAAGCTCGAAATCTCTCAGAGCAACCTCTAGCCACGAAACTGGGAACCCTGACTGTCAGACCCTACATTTGGGAAAATGTAGGGAAGAGTATGTATTAGTACAAAATATGTACCAAGTATAATAGTCATGCATAAAAACATATAGTTCATGTTAAAAAGGGACATTTTCATGGGCATGAAATGATCAAGCTAAAACATAAATATTGAATGTTAGGAAGTATAAGTCGTAAAACATGATCAATGCAAATGAACATCATCTTAAAACATATGTGAGATACTTCCTTGAAGTAACCTTAGTTAATCATAACTTGCTTGTGGGAAGTAGCCTTAACCGACATATAAGACCATGTGAGCTATCAACATGGAATTCGGTGTCTCCCACACCGAAAAGGGTTGTCCTACTTGACAAAGAAAGGACCTTGAACTTCTAGCTTATGTGGATCCACTAGCTAATGTCTATCTAGACAATCCTATATTGGCACATAGTTTATGGGACACGGGTAATCGCCACTTGTCCACTTGGTACTAAGCTTAACTTCCATGGACTAGTTCTTAGTCATATTCAACTTAGCTCATAAAGGAACATGGGTAATCGCCTCTTGTCCTTGTATTATATGACATAGGTAATCGCCTATTGTCATTCTAATTAGAGAGCATGGGTAATCGCTTCTTGCCTCAACATTAGCATAGCTTCTTATCATTGGTTCGTTTTAGGTGAGAAGACCTTTCAGTCTAAGAACCCTTATTATGTGAGAAAACCTTTCACAATTAATGCTTATATGTGTATATGAGAAATCCTTTCAACAACACAACAATAGCAACATCATTGATACTTCACTCTCAAAGCATCATTAAACATTTACATAAACTTCATAAGAACATGCTTGATTTCATAAACTCTTCTTTCATAATCCAAAACCCACATTATATAATCATAACTTGGAAAATATGGGAATTACATGGGTGCATGAGGGATCATCATAAAAACATGAAATTAACTCAATTCATACGTAAGAGATCATAAATCAATCAATTAAATCAATAATCAAGAGAACCCATAACAAAGAAGAAAATCCTAACTCAATTGGGGATTTTTATATTTGAAAATAAGAGAATTTGGGAACTCCATGAATGGAAGGAATCCATGGATGAAACCTATCATACCTCAATGCCAAAAGCTTGACTTCAATGGGGGAATTGGAGACTTGACTTGAAACCTAGGTTGATCCCTTCTTCTTCAACTTGTAGAGAGAGAAATATTTGAGAGGTCTTCTTTTGTGAATTTGAGAGGATGATTTCAATTAAGGAAATTTTGGGGGTTAAAACGTTTATATATAGGGGTTTTGGTGAAGGGTAAAACGACATAGTATTAGGATAAAATAATTAGGAAAAGACCTAAATCCCCTAAAAATAATAATTGTCGACCCAAACGACGGCCAGACCGACGGTCTGTCAGTCAAACCACAGACCGTCCTGTTAGGGCATCGTTTGGATCAGAGGCCATGATCTGTGGCCTTGATCAATGGACCTCCATCCAGGACTGTGATTCCAATGACGGTCTGTTGGTCCAGGTCGTGGATCTTGACTTTTGATCCTGAATTTTCTCTAAGTCTGGGACTCACCTACGAATCCTATCTACGGCTCGTGCATTGAACGACGGACCGTCCTAGTGGACCATTGAAAAATACAGAAAACTTGACATTTTAGAAAACTGACTTGGCCAACCACGGACCTACCTATGAACTGTACATCAAACGACGGACCATAGGTGGCGCCCGTTGTCCTGGCACTAGATTTCTTAAAGGCTGAAATTTTACCCTTTCTCGAATCCGAAGTGTTACAATAACTTTGTTATTTGATTAGTATAATTCATGTGTCCTTAAATCACGTATGCAAATTCAAGTGTACCTTTTAAATGTAAACATTTGATAATTGAAAACATACTATAATGAAACAATATCATACTAACTAATTTGTGGACGTAGTTAATTTGTTCTAATTTTAATTTAGTTGTGATAAAATTTAATCAAATATTAGTACTTCCTTCGTTTAATAAAACGATCTAGTATGACTTGACATGAAGTTTAAGAAAATAAAGAAGATGTTTCAATTTCGTGGTGCCAAATTAAAGTTATATTAAATGTACCAAAATGTCCTTTAATTTTATGACCTTAACACCTTGTTTGGATGATTGTTACCCGTTGTATTGTATTGTTAGTTTAAAAACAATATTTAATTTTGATTGTTACTTAAATTCTATTGTATCTTATCATTTAAATACATTGTTAGATAACACCAAAAAGACCAATTTATGTAACGGCCGATTTGGTGTGATCACATTGTACGTTAATAATTTCTTTTCATTTTGTCTTTATTTATATGATTTATCTTTTATCCTATTTTTTCATAGTAATTCTATCATGTACTACTCTTTTTTTTCAGGTTCATCATTTAATTTATAGATATGTGATATTATGTAATGAAGAAGAATAATACAATTTGTTTAAATACATGTATTTATTAAAATTAACATAATACAATACGATGCAATACAATAACTCAATAAGATACAATATGAAATTAAATTATTACCATAAAAAAAGGTCATTCTTTTTAAATAAAGACAGTATTTTTATTTTTATTTTTATTTTTAAAACCAAAAGCATTAAACACCGGTCGAAGCCTCTCAACTAAAAGCAGTTCTAGGGTTTTCAAGCAGAAAAAAAAGAGTATTTATTTGTTCTTCTCATTCATCTCGAAAACATTAGTTTTTTCATTGGATTTGTAAGGAATCAATTGTTGAAACTATGCCTCCAAAATCAGTGAGAAAGACGCCTTCAGGTTCTGGATCCAAAAGAGGTGGCCGTACACCTCGTGGCACGCCAAAGTCTCAGGCAAAGCCTGTTAAGGTAGAGGAACCAATGGAAGTAGATAAGGCGGTGGAGCTCAAACAAGAAATGAAGGTGGAGGAGATATCTGAAGAAAAGCCTGAGCTGAAAACCATGCAATCGGAGCCTGAGGAACCGGCCGAAACTGCTTTGAATGCGAACGCTGTAGAGAAGGGGGCGGTTTCAGAGAAGAGTAAGTATTCATTTTGCAAAATTTGAATTAATACTTTGTACAGTTTTGCTTATGTCAGTTTTAATAAGAGTAGTGATAAGAAATCATGTTAGTTGTTAATGGTATTGCAAGAGCTATGCAAATTGTGTTTATGCATTAATACCTGTTCTCTTTAAACACAATTTATTGAATTAATACCTATGTTGCTCGGACTCTTCAAAAATGTCAATGGGCGCCTGTCCGCTACATTTCGGAGAATCCGACACGTGTGCAGCATCGAAAGAATCCAAACAACTTAGATTAATACCTGTTCTAAAATGCGTATAACTGCTGACAATTGCTATGTTTATTGTTATATAATCTGAGTTCTTTAGCTTAATTAAGAGCAATGTCAGAAAATACTTATGGGTCCAAATAGAGATAGAAATTCAGAGAACTTGCTTGAGATTTTGGCTTATAACACATCCCTCCCTTGTGGTTTCAAATAATACATATACCTCCCTTCTTTGATAATAGGTGTAACAAAACTATTTTATAATCTGAAATGGACAAGTTTACCCCTTTTAAGTCAACTTTTAGTTTCTTTCTTCTTCTTTTTCCCAGAAAGTAAATATTAAAGCAAAAGCACAATATTAGTTTAACAAGATAGATGCTAGATGAAAGTTACGAAATGTTAGTACAATGTTACCGGTTTGTCTTTTGTTACACTTCTTCATATATATATTTTGTTGCATGACAAATTAAATACTCCCTCCGTTTAAAAAAGAATGACCTATTTTCTATGATCTCTTTACTTTTTTGGCAACACTTTAATTTCAACTTTCCACGTGACATGTTTAAGGCTACAAGATTAAATGACATTTTTGTACTTTTGACATAACTATTATTTAGGATCACAAAATTGAGAAGTCTTTTTTTCTTAAACTCCGCATCAAGTCAAACTGTGTCATTCTTATTGAAATAGAGGGAGTAACTTTTAAAATTTTAAGGCGAATTTAAATCAATTTGAACTATTATTGAGTATTCTATGGATGAAAAACGCCTATATTTCATTTTATGGTTCTTTAACCCAATCATGGGAAGGAAACAAAAAACAAAGTTTTGATAACGTTATATAGAGAAAAAAAAGTAATAATTGTCTTATTATTTCATCTTCCATTATTGTCTTAAAAGCAAAACAATATTGTCTTGCGATAGTGTAAAGTCACACTGCAATATCATGAGTTTGACTTCAATGTCTTTACTCTAGCTGATCATTTACTGCTTCGTCAATTAGATTTAAGTTTATCAATTATAAAATTAAAGATGATCAATCTTCCATATTGAAGTAATTTTGAAGGATAAAATTAACTCGAAGAAAATAAGGTACTTATTATAAAAGAAGACATAAAACTTTGACATACAAAGGGTAAGTTTGTCTACTTCAGAATATAAAATACTTTTGTTACACACAATGGTCAAAGAAGGGAAGTATATGTAATATTTGATACCACAAGGGAGGGATGTGTTACAAGACAATTTACTTAGATTGTTAAGTGAGATAAGCAAACTTGATTTCGTCCCGAAATGTCCGAGTTTTAGATTTCGAAGATCAATAAAATAAAAGGTTTTAGATTTTGAAGATCAATAAAATAAGAGGAAGGAATGATAAATAAATACAAATAGAAAAGGAAAGGGAGGAAATGCAAAAAAATAGAAGAGAAAAGTCATACAAAGTTATATACAAATCACTGCACCACCCTTTTTTGTATTCCTTAAATGAATTTCAGTTGATTAGGACGAGTTCCTTAAAAACTATGCTGAGCAGCTTCTGTAGGTTGAGCTAGGCCAAAACCTCAAGGGAGGTCTCTGAAATTATTCCTTAAAAATATTATCCCTAGAGAATGAGGTTTTGATAGGATAGTGTTAATAATATCTTGGTTGGTGAGGGCGAGCTGTGAGCATCACTTAAATCTTATGGCCTGCTAACTTTGAGTTAATTAAATATATGTGTGTGTATGCGGTTTCAAGCTTCAATCGATTAAAAGAAACATATAGAAAGTGAAGCATCTCCAAGATGATGGTTGAGGCATATGCGTTACATCGAGTAGCTCACATGTTGGTCTCAAGACAACCTTTGTGGCAAAAACACTGAAATAATGACAAAAGGTGAGGCTTAACTGGGATGGATGAAGGGTCCCTTATTCTTCAATTTGAGATGAAGGAAGAAGGAAAGCTTACAGTTGCTGGCACATATTCTGTTCTGCCAAATCTTGTAACTTTTATCTCTCTCCTGATGATCAGTTAAGTCTCTATAGAGTTGGACATTGTTGACAGCTTACACAACTTGCAAGAGATTATGTTATACTTGGATAAGAGCATTTTATTTTCACCATTTACTGGCCTGGGAGGTTAATTTTTTTCTCATGGCAGAGAAGGACGATTTGAAAGAGTCAGTCGATCACTATGAAAAGGGCGAGCGATTAGATTTGGAGGATAATGACCCTGAATATGAACCTGAAGAGTATGGCACAGTTGATTATGATGAGAATGGGATTGAACATGATGGTGTTCAGGAAGAGAGAAATGAAATAGAGGAAGAACCTGAAGAGGCAGATGTTGGTGAAGAGGAAGAGGGTGATATGGGGGAAGAGGATGTTGAAGATGTTCATGAGGAAAATGAGGGTGATGAAGAAGATGAGCATGCTGAGATGGCTGATGCAGCAGAGGAGGAAGAACATCATGAAGTTGTTGAAGAAAGGCGTAAGCGGAAGGAATTTGAAATATTTGTTGGTGGCCTGGACAAGGATGCTACCGAGGAGGATCTCAGGAAGGTCTTCAGTAAAGTTGGCGAGATTACTGAAGTGAGGCTTCTGATGAATTCTCAGACAAAGAAGAATAAAGGATTTGCATTCCTGCGATTTGCCACTGTTGAACAAGCAAAAAGAGCTTGTACTGAGCTGAAAAATCCAGTGGTATTTTCTTTATTTATAGTTTTATGTGACTGATTTTAATTCCTCATAGAAGGTATTTCCTGACAATGGAATTTCCAGATCAATGGAAAACAGTGTGGTGTCTCTCCAAGTCAAGACAATGATACTCTGTTTTTGGGTAACATATGCAAGACCTGGACAAAAGAAGCTGTAAGTAGGCTAGGCATATCATATTGTCAACATACATGATTCTCAGTTTTGAGGAGCTGCTTAACTAGTCATTGATGTTTGCTTTCTCTCCCAGTTAAAAGAGAAGCTGAAGCATTATGGTGTTGACAATACAGAGGATTTGACGTTGGTCGAAGACACTAATAATGAGGGAATGAATCGAGGATTTGCTTTCTTGGAGTTCTCTTCACGTTCAGAGGCCATGGATGCTTTTAAGCGGTTACAGAAGAGAGATGTTGTATTTGGAGTTGATAGGCCTGCAAAGGTTTCTTTTGAGGATTCATTCATTGATCCTGGGGATGAAATCATGTCACAGGTAAACTCTCTGGACATATATCTATATTTTAATAGAAGGAACAATGACCGGTCAAGTATAGTTAGTATATTGTCAAACGGAGGCTTTTGTTGTTGTGATTCTTAGCTTATTTTGGAGGTACACAACTTTTAAGAGTTATATTATGTTTTTGAACATACTTTGTCGTTCTATGGTTTGCTTTTTATCCCTTCTCTTTTAGTCTCTTCTGCTGCGAAGAAAAGAACCTATATCTATGTTTTAATAAAAGGGACTATGGCTCTGGTTAAGTGTAGTTATAGTATATTGCCAAATGGAGGCTTTTGCTTTGGTGCTCGTTAGGTTATTTGGAGGTAACCAAATATTTCACAGTTGACTTCAGAGTTATATTATGTTCTTCAACATAAGTCAGTGATTTGCTTTTTATCCCTGCTTACGTTGTCCTTTAATTGTTTGCTTTTTATCCCTACTGCGAAGAAAAGAAGAATAAGTAAGGACAGTGTATTTTAGTTTTTCCTTTTTCAATCAGTTAGATTTATGGATAGGTGCTAGCTGTTCAAATTTTGTCTCTCCCCTTTTATTAATTTTTTGTCTGGGTAGTTTGGTTATTTTCTTTCTGTGGTTGTTCTTTTCTGATGTCTTTGCTGCTTGCTTTTGGAGTCTTTTTAGTCAATTGCTACACAACCCTTCGTTATTTGACTGTGGATGAGGTGTGAGAGGTTGGCTATGGTGGGGTAGGTATAAGGAGAGTCAGAGGTAGGCCAACAAGTATTGGGGAGAAGTGATTAGATAGAATTCGACACATGTTGGTATGGAGGTCAGGGATCAGGGTTGAAGGTTATTAGGTAGTAGAGCATTTAGTTTTTTCTCGTAGTATTACTTTCTATTATTTTATTCTGCTATTTTTTACTGCATCTGTTGTTTTTCTTGGCTTCAGTTTGTGTTGTTTGCTGTTACTATTCTTTTCTCTATTATTTTTATCACAGCTTCTTCACTACTGTATTTCCTTTCTATAACTGCTTAGAACGGTTTTACTTGAGCAAAGGGTCTTTTGGAAACAACCTCTCTGCCTTCACAAGGCAGGGGTAAGGTCTTCATACACTCCATGCTCCTCGGACCCCACTTGTGGCTGTGGGATTACCCTGGGTATGTTGTTCTTGTTTCTTTGTTTTTGATAAATCAAGACATGACTGTGGGGGAATATTTCTTGAGTTCAGGTTAAAACAGTGTTTATTGATGGTCTTGCTGTATCCTGGAACGAGGACCATGTACGGGAACTTCTTAAAGAATATGGAAAGATTAGAAAAGTTGAGCTTGCCAGAAATAGGCCTTCAGCCAAGAGAAAGGACTTTGGATTTGTCACCTTTGACACTCATGAGGCTGCAGTTACATGTGCTAAAAGCATTAATAATGAGGAATTGGGTGAAGGAGATAACAAGGTTCGTTCTCTGTCTTTAAGTGTCCCTGAGTATATGTGAATCTTTGTGAGTGGTTCTTATTGTTGTTTATTTCAGGTTAAAGTAAGGGCCAGACTATCGAGACCCCTGCATATGGGTAGAGGGAAATACGGTGGACGAGGAGAGTTCCGACCTTGGCGTATGCCTATGCATGGTTCCCATGCCCCTTGGGGTCGTACAGCGCCATATAGTCGTTCTATCCGAGGGACTAGAGTTAGTACGTGTATGCCTCCCGTAGTTGGTCGTGGTTTCAAACGACCTGCAGCATTGAGAGATAGACATGCAGAGATGGCTTTGTCTCCTAGGGGAAGATTTATGGCTTCACCACCCAGGAGGTCATATGACCGGAGACCACCTGGTATGATGTGATTTATGTCTTTCGTTAAAATCTACTGGTTCAACTCTACTTATTTTATAAATGACCAGATGACTAATGACCAAATTGCAGTTTCCTCATATCCAAAGAGTAACTTCAAGAGGGAGTATGGACGGCGCGAGGAAATCTCTCCTTCTAGAAGCAGAGCAATAGCTGAGTATCCTTCGAGGGTTCATTCTGACAGACGTATATCCTATAGGGATGAATATTCTTCGCGTGGCTCTGGTTACCCTGAATTACCTAGAGGTACTCACTCTGCAGCAAGGAGAGCTTATGTTGATGATGGATATGGGCAACGGTTTGAAAGACCCCCTCCATCTTACCGTGAGGGACGTGGTCGTGAATATGATTCTGTCTCTGGTTCGAAACGTCCATACACTGCAGTGGTGAGTTATCTTCACCATATACTATGCTTAGATATTTTCCTGATTTACCCAAGAAGATATGAACTAATTAAGCGTCTCCTGTACATGCCAGGATGATGTTCATCCACACTACGCTGAGGCAGGAATGCGGCATTCGCGTGCTCGTTTGGATTATGAATTAGGCAGTGGAAGTGGCTCCCATTATGGAGATGCATATGGTGACAGGTGCCTTCTAATTATTGTTCAGTCATTTTTCTTCCTTTTTCGCAATCTTTGGTACTATATTGATTGACTTGACTGATGTACATATTAGTAGACTCGGGAGATCAAATCTTGGATATGGCGGCAACAGGAGCTCCATTTCTAGGCAAGATTCTCATGGGATATACAGCAGTCGTCAGGGTATGGGCTATGGTGGAGGTATGTTTTGTTCATTGCAAAATCTTGTTATTTCTCTTAACATTTGTTTTTATATGTATGTATAGAGAAAGCTGTCTTAATTCTGTTTTGGTTTGTAGGTTCCTATGGTGGAAGTGATGTAGGTGGAATGTATTCGTCCAGCTATGGTGGTGACTACATGTCTCGTGGCAGTGATGTATGCTTCTACTTTGTTAATATCTGTTGGAAGATTTAGTGTTTATCTGATGATAACTGTGGTGTTCCTGTTCTTCTCTGATGAATATTCAGGTTGGCTCCTCGGTTTATTCTAGTCGTGGTATGGGTGGCAGTGGCTATATGGGAAGTGGTGGTTCTGGATCTTACTACTAAGGTATGTCACTTGTTATTACTATCCATGTGTGGTTTATTTGGCAGTCATGCTCTTAGGAACTGAGCATCTTATATTCCCCTGTCCCCTGTTTAAAGGTGTGTATACTTTCTTTTTTGCAAGAGCTGTGTTTGGTTACCCACCAACTTATTTATGGTACAGATTTGAGTTGACAAAAGCGCCTGCAGTTGGATGAGTTAATGTGGAAGCCCTATGCACTGACATGCCTCTTGGAGAGATGGAGTTTATGTATTAGTACTTGTTTGTATATGTAGGGCTAGAGAATTTAGCATTAGAGGTTGCATTGCTCTTGGATTCTAATTGGGAAAAGAGACATGTGTCCCTTCTTTTGATGTAAGGAAATTTGAGCTATGTACAGCAAACTGAGATCTGGTGTCATTTTGCAATACTTTCTTTGTGGTTTCTTCTTTTAAAAATTTGCTGGAGTAGTGCGTGATAATTTCGAAAGAAAATGATCCCATAAACTCAAGTTAATAAGATGAAGGATCTGCGGGTATCTGATATTATGATCTCAAAATTACTCCCTCCGTCCACAATTGTTTGTCAGGGTAAAGTCATGCACACCCCTCAAGGAAAATTTAATACAAGGTGTAATTTGACTAATATAACCCTACTATATCAAGAATACCAAAAGTCTACATAACTTTTCAATTGAACTACACTATCATTAAGGGCAAAATTGGAAAAAAGTAATTAATTGTTTCTTGATTGTTTAAATTGACAATTAATCTTGGACATCTATTTTTAGTATACCTGCCAAACAATTGTGGACGGAGGGAGTAATTTTGAGATCATAATATCAGATACCCGCAGATCCTTCATCTTATTAACTTGAGTTTATGGGATCATTTTCTTTCGAAATTATCACGCACTACTCCAGCAAATTTTTAAAAGAAGAAACCACAAAGAAAGTATTGCAAAATGACACCAGATCTCAGTTTGCTGTACATAGCTCAAATTTCCTTACATCAAAAGAAGGGACACATGTCTCTTTTCCCAATTAGAATCCAAGAGCAATGCAACCTCTAATGCTAAATTCTCTAGCCCTACATATACAAACAAGTACTAATACATAAACTCCATCTCTCCAAGAGGCATGTCAGTGCATAGGGCTTCCACATTAACTCATCCAACTGCAGGCGCTTTTGTCAACTCAAATCTGTACCATAAATAAGTTGGTGGGTAACCAAACACAGCTCTTGCAAAAAAGAAAGTATACACACCTTTAAACAGGGGACAGGGGAATATAAGATGCTCAGTTCCTAAGAGCATGACTGCCAAATAAACCACACATGGATAGTAATAACAAGTGACATACCTTAGTAGTAAGATCCAGACTGAGAAGATTACCAATAAAGAGCATAACTTTTTGTTATGGGAGGGAGTGTCTACATTTTTTACTAAGTTAATGGATTAACATGCATTCCAAGCTACTATCTGTTTGGTTATAGATTTAGATGAATGTAGTTTGATGGCTTTAAAAAGAAGGCATTCATAGGCCAAAGTTTGCTCGTTCGAAATTGGGAAAATGAGTTTAGTTTGTGAATTGGGAGATGTTCATATAGCATTGGATAGGAAATTGTGATGGTCTGGTGTTTAATTCCTTGCAGTTTGAGAGCTGGTTCAGTGTAAGCCTGATCTTCTGATTGGTTACATTACATGAGGAGTATGATTAATCCCTTCTGGTTTATATATAGATGAATTTTGACAAGTTGATAGTTCCACAGAATTAGATTATTTGTTTGATTTGTTAATGCAGTAGGAGCTGGCACAATGAAGTTAGTAGAGAGTGCATTAGCAAAAATAATGCATACAATAGCTCTCTGTATTAGTCGTCTCTTGTTTGGTGTATTTTTTTTTCGTGCTATGCTACGTGCATTAGTTATACACTCTATTGTGTATTGAATAGTGTTTTACTAATACCATGAATTTCTAGGTATTAGTAATGCAAAGAGATTTAAGCATGGTTAAACACCAAATTACCCCTCAAAATCGCTTTTACATTTTTTTCACCTTAATTATGGAGGATATTTTTATACAATGCATATTAATTTTAATGCACTAAATTCAACAATGCATAAAAAGATAATCTATACATAGCTAATGCAAGCATTATTAATACTCATTACTGAGCATTATTTTTATACACTACCAAACGACTCTTTAGAGCAATCACTTAATAGTGAGGCATTTCAAATACGGCTCAGTCTACTAGAATCATAATAAGTACCCCTCCCTTCCACAATTCTTCATCTTAGAAAGTACTAAACCTTTTTTTCAAATCGGTGTAAATTGCTTCAACAATTCACTTATTTTAAAATGGAGGGAATAATTTTTTGGTTATCTAAAACCTTTTAAATTTAAATAAGAGTAAAACTGGAAGCATCATAAATGTTTTTCTTTTGATAATGTAAACACCATTTATTTTGAAATATAAAATGAAAAACTAAAAACACTATTTATTTTAAAACAGAGAGCAAAGGAGTGTCATATTCCCTATATTAGGGGTGTTGGCCCGTGTCAGCACGGGCCCAATACTATTAAACTTTTTTTTTAGTTTTGATGTGAAATTGGAGAAAAGAAAATTGATGCATCTAAGGCGTATTCGATTTAGAGGATGTTAATATTTTCATATGATTTGTGTAAATCTTTGAAAAATATCTTCTTTAAGAAAATTAGTTTTTTGTTCTTTTAAAATGAGGAAAATGATTTTCTTAGTGGACATATTAAAAATAAGTTATACAAGTAGCATTCTATATTTATAATGTCTTCTCCATCTTTTAACACATCTTAACCCCCCCCCCCCCAATACTCCCCCCCACCCCCAC